TGATGATTAGTACTTATATCAAATGCTGAAAATTAATTATGCAAATTAGGTAATTAATATGTACTGATATTACCATAAAAACTATCAGGTCTGTGCAGTGTCATATGACATCTATGTACCAAGTTTCATTGAAATGTGATGATTAGTACTTGAGATATCAGTGGAAAAAACAAAAATTGACTAATCATTATGCAAATTAGGTAATTAGTATCCACGGATTATTACCAAAAACTAATCAAAACCTAGCATTAGTTCAGAGCATGTATGTACCAAGTTTCATCAAAATCCAATGAGTGGTTGTTTAGATATCAGTGGAACAATCATGGAACAGCTAAAAATCAGCTAATTATCATGCAAATTAGGTAATTAACGAGCATGGATTTTTACCAAAACCTAATCAAATCTGCGCATTGGCCCAGAGCATCTATGCACCAAGTTTCATCAAAAACCGATGTATGGTTCTTGAGATAGCAGTGGAACAGTCGGACACACATACACACATACACACACACACACACACACACACACACACACACACACACATACATACAGACACACTAACTGCAAAGACTCCCATTTTGTGCTTCGCACATGGGAGTCAAAAAAGGGGAAAAATATTTTGTTGGCAGATGTGCAGAACAAGCATTTTTTGGTAACCATTATCCTCAAGCCTTAATTAATACTTATTCTCAAAAATGTCACCTTTGAAATGAACCTATTACCAATGCTCTTTATAATATTATAATGAAGAGGAACCTACCACTCATGTCTTCTTCATCATCATCTGCATATTCCCCATCTTCCCCCATTTTCTTCTGTCTCATTGATGCTGCCCTTCTCCTTGCTGAAAACAAAATTGTTGTTGAATATAATAGGCTGCCGCATTTGTTCAAAGCAAAAGACTCGTTCAAACCTATTCATAACAGCAATTAGACTAATCTCAGAAAATCCATTGATGTTCAGGAAAAAGTTCCTTAAGTATTATTCATATGGGTTCATAGTATCCAATTAATTCTCGCTGGTACATTTGCATTGTTTGAAGGTAAAAAATTCACAAATTTTCTACAATAATGTCAATGAGGGTAATATGAACAAAGATGGTGACTTTGTCTGTTTCGCAGATCAACGAGTACAAACTAAGACATTACAAAGCTTTAATTAGGTATTTTTAGGTGATTGGAAAGTATTGAAGGAGTCGCCTGCAGTAAATAGTGCATGACGTGATGTCCAGGTCAAAAATCATACTCATACATTAAAAGAGAGCATTGAACTGTGGGAAAATCAATGTTTATCAACACAAATGTTGTACATGCTCAACGCAACGACCACCGACCTTTAAATTGATACTAATACAGGTTCATGTAAATAATAGAATAAATAATTCTCTGAAATTAGTCTGATTGACTAATCTGACATATTATAATCGGTGGAATATCAGTGACAAAATAAGTCAAAACCAGTCTATCATTAAAGAAAATGATTTTTTTTTCTACGTCTTTAGTCTGACTTTTTCAGGGATTGCGTTGAAACAAACCTCAGTTTTTAATTGCTCAAATACTCTGATCAGTAGCAACATGTTTTCACAACCGCCAAAAGCGACACTATCGTTGATTGAATGGTGGAACATGCCGCTGAAAACAACCTGAAGGCTGCCCAATAAAAAGCTTGTAATGGTAGTTGAAAAGTTTATTGTTGGATTTATTATGGCAAAATTATTTGTCAAAAATGTTGATATTCAAAACTAGAAATCTTGCTAGAAACTTCACCATTTATATTTGCGTTACATGTTGATTGAATGGTGAATTGATACATAGAAGTGGTTCGTGAAAAGATTCAATGTATACCAAGAAAACTGATAGGGTAAATGTATCAAACTACATTGTACAACCAACCCAGAGCAATCAAAAGAGCATACAAATGCATCTATTTGAGCAGCCCACTTTTACCTACCTTCTATGACAGCCTTTTCATCTTCAGTGATTGAGTCATCTTGTAACATGACTTCTTCTGCTTTACTAAGCCATTCGAGGTAGCCATTAAGCTCCCTTTCAATTTGCTGTTGCCGTCGCAGTTTCAAAAAAGCTCTCCGATTTTCCACTCTTTCCCTCTCTTTTGCAAATTCACTGTAAAGCATAGGTTATATTTGTTGACATTTCTGAACATCACATCACCCCTGAACAAATCAACATCTACAAATCGTACAGTACATCTTGTTACTGAACCTGATAAGGGATCCCCCATTTGAAAACAAGGGGGGTTGGAAGACCAACACATTTTTATTTTTATTGATCCCAAAACAGTTTTTCCCTGCTACAACTTACAAGCAATTTATTTTTATTTTTGTATCTAGCTTGAAAAATATATATTTTTTATCTTCGAATCTTCCACCACCCTTAACATGATTGTGACTAAAAAAACTGATCATCTTCTTATCATACTCCTTTTCAGTTGTCTAGAATACCAAAATCCCTGAAACAATGTTTTTTTAACCTTTCCCCCAAATGAACATTTTCTTGATTTGTAATACTGTAGAATATTTCGGCTTGGAATTTATTTTCGCTTTTTTCAATGAAGGGATGCTTCGGTGAAAACAAAATCCAGTGAATATACTTTTTTTTCCTATATTTAACATTCAACTCGTCAAAAATCAGTGAAAATAAATTCCATAAAAAACGCCCAAAAAATCTTTTGAGCGAAAAGTATTTGTATCAAGTTCAGAGACACTATACTAATCAAGTAAATGACAATAGCACTTCATTCCCAAACAGAGTAAATGAGTTTTTTTAGTATTTCAGTGCTTCTGCTTTGATGCCAAAACTTTTTATCACTCATCAAATGTTACGTTTTTAAACTAATGGTATATTCATAAGATAATACTACAATGGCATGATTTAATGTTTTGAAAACCATATTTCATAAAGGTTATGAAAAAACAGGAGGTTAAATGTCTTTAGTCTCGCTCACACAAATTCAAGAATAAATCTGAAACACCCAACTTTAGGAAGAACCTCAGCATCAGTTACAGTTGAATACTTTATTTTAGCTGGAATTAATTTTATTAGATATTTTGGGTATTTTGTATGGAATTTATTTTCATTGGTTTTTGGCAAGTTGAATGTAAAATATAAGAAAAAAGGTATATTCACTGGATTTTATTTTCACTGAATCACTCTTTCAGCAAAAATAGTGAGAATTACTAGTAATTCCACGCAAAATTAAAGTAATTTTATAGTATTCAGTTATCACTTACCCACTTAAAACACCAAGAACAAGATTGAGCATAAAAAAAGAACCTAGTATAATTAGAGGCACAAAATAAAGCCATGTCCAAGTACTTCCTGAAGCGTTATTTGTCTGAAAAAAAATGATTATATAGCTTTAGACAATTAGAAATAGCAAATGTGCGTATTAATTAGCATATAATTTGCATAATCCATTTATAATATTAGTACATCTGTTCCACCTTTTACCCTAACTCACAACATAAAGATTGGTTCACAGAAACATTGAAATTAAGATTATTCAAACTATTTTAATATTTTGCTATTTTTACTATTTATTTTGTTTTGATACATCATAATGCAATATGGCAAGCAATTTTTGATTTTTTCCAACCTGACTGGATAGTTACATGTCTCAGACATATGGGTAGGCAGTAATTTCAAACACTGATAAAGGCAAATTTCGGTATAGGTGAATTCTGTATATCCATTTTGGTATATCCAGGAGCGCTTCTAATAGAGCAAGTATCATGGAACAGCCGTTATTGAAAAAATTTTCATAAATGAACAGAAAAGACGACTTACCATGTATAAAACATCTGTCCACCCTTCCATAGTAATACACTGGAACACAGTTAACATAGAAAAACCAACATGGTCAAAGTTTGTGATACCATGATTTGGTCCAATCCAGTACTCTTGACATATGCCACCCATCTTACATGTCCTGGAGCCACTCGTAGTGCCACAGACAAAAGGATCTTTCCCACCTTCAACTTCATCTGTTTATGGAAAAAGAAAGAATCATATGTAGTTAGGGTATAGATGCAGGTTTTTTTTTCTTTTTCTTATCCAGACAGTCTTGGCTAGATAGTGTTAACATTTCAGAGCATTGTCAATGATGGAACATACTCAAAAATCGATTTTAAAATATAGGGAACCGTGGCATGCGATAAAGGGCTACATTTTGTGAAAAAGCAAGTGTGATGCTTTTTCAGTTGTACATTAATGATTATTTTAACTGAATTTAATTTTCACTCCAAACTATATAATTTGTCACAATTTACATGCACAGTATCTGTAATGGATTATATTTTTTCGATGATTCACCAAAGTGAAAATAAGGATTGAAGTTGAACTAAGATTCAAATATGTTGTCGTATAATTATTTTAGAATTACAGTATAAACTTTGATGTTCAGTGTGTCTAGATGATGCCACCTCCTTTAGTAGTTGAAAATGAAATTTCCAAAACATAACAAGTCAGACAGACAGGCAACATTTGTAGGTACATGTTTGCTTTTGCATTTAGTTTCACAAAGATTTTGTGAATATATAAGTACTAGTTCAGAAACTGACATATTTGTGTTTATACAATCAGATATGCCACACATATTAGGCTGTGGTTGCGGAAAAAAGTGATTTGAAATAATATATACACAATTAAGACAAAATATGTGTCAACAAATTGCTCAAGAGGATAAGTTTAATTAGTCATACTTATAATTGAAAATTAATCCTTTTTTTTTTTAGAAATTTGTGTGAGTGGCACTTTTCATGCTTTCTAGAATTATCCAATATAGGCATAATGTATGTTTTTTAAAAATACAAAAGGATTCCATGTCTCAGCTTAACAAATTTTGATTCATTTTATGGACGTATAAAATAATTTTTTGCGAGGCATGTTTCAGTGACAAAACTCTCAAAAATACATCATTCATATTCTACATCGCATCGAATAATTTCTTAGATTTTTAGATTTTTTTAAAGTTGGGTTATGAATAGAGTTGGTTACAAGTACAATTGATTTGAAAAAAAAAAAAAAAAAGTGAAATAATGGACTTGATTCCAAACTACTTGTATCTGTTGCATGCGCCCTCAGCAGCACGGATCATTTTCGCAAACACTGCATATTTTTGCAATTTTTATTTAAAAAAAACAAAACAACAAAGAAAACAACTACTCACTTGTTCCATTAATATAACAGGTTGCATGGAATTTACCAAGAAAAAACTCCATACCAGTGATAGCAAAAATAAGAATCATGAAGACGATCAACAAAGCAATCTGTAAGAGTGGTGCCATAGCTTTAAGAATGGACTTTAATACTACTTGAAGACCTATAAGTAAAATAAGAGAGATAAGGCATCTGTTATGGTCAAGATAACACTAATAAGGAATTACTACACTGTATAGGTGACCTGTAGTTGTTGTAACACCCAACACCTTACATGCAATCTAAAACAGGAGTGTGCTATTAAATATCCAGCTTATCTAAACAGGCGATATAGCTGTCAACATTCAGAACAATTTTAACACATAGTTTTTTCTCACAAAAGTTTTAGTGAAACCTTTTTATTTATCTAATTGTTAATTTTGAACCAAATGAACATAACTTCTCACTGGCTACATATCAAAATTAAAAAAAAATTTAAAGAAAAAATGTTTTAAAAAATCATGCAGATTTACTAATTTTTTTTTTTTTACACTTGTAATAAACAAAGAGACAAGTCATGAAGAAAACAGGTTGCTGAAAGCTTGATGACAAGCTAATTAATAGGTATACACTTTACCTCAAATTTACTTAAGTTTACTGAATGAGGGAATAGCAAGATTTGAAAAATTATTCTCGTTAAGGGCGCCCTCACACCATCACATTTGTAAGTATCCATGTTGCACCACAGCAATGAAATACCAGGATACACAACATTTTAGGGTTTTGTTCAAACAATGTAATTCTTAAAAGTAAAAATAAAAGTACCTATCCTACCTGTTTTTGTAAAACCTGATACCTAAATCTAACAATTCGTTGCTGTTTGCCTTAGAAATATTAAGATATTTTTTAAAACAATAACTCATTGATGGCATGCAAGATCATCATGTGACCTAAACACGTCAAACTTATAAACATCTACGCTTGCATGGTTTTGTTGTAAGTTTTCAATTCTTGTTAACGCCGTGAGACCGCTTCAAATGCGAGTTATTAAAAATGGAAAACAAAGGAAATTGAATAGTACAGTCCTGACAGGAAAGTGGAATGGTAGATTGAATTAATAATGAAATACCGTCACAAACTACAGGTCAACTATATAAAACAACATCTGAAAGTGACATCATTTGATATTGAGTAGCCATGGTAATCAATATTGCCAATATTGCTCTTTACTGCTAGTTCACTTAATTTTGTTTTTATTGTGAACCCGGAAAAAAATGATGGTTGTAGCACAACATTTTTGAACAGCAGGGAAAGCTTCACTACTGAGAAAAAAAGACCACTGCTCAAGCTAGTATAATATTTCTCAAATGATGTGATCAAGATGCTGTGTAATGTTCACATTCCTATGTTCTTGAAACTCAAAGCTTGCAAAATTGGCAAAAGTTAACTTCTGAGATCTTTCAATAAAAAATAATATTTTGAAATGGAGCTATAATTCCGCTAAACGATCTTAATGCCAATAAGCAAACCCTGAACTTGACTCAACTATGGAACAAAGCACATAATTATGCAATCATCCTGTTGAGAATACAAGAACATAGGATGATGGGAGAGTCTCCTATACTTGGAATAATTACAAGAAAATACCTAGTACTTACGATGGCAAATAACACTACTTCCTGGGTATACCTTTAGTAATGACCCATAATCAATGGGAAAAAGAAAGGAACGTACCACAATAACAAGGCACTGTAGGGTGTAAATTACACTTGACATCTACTAAACATGAACATTCTAAACAGCATGTGGTTTTGAAAACACGTTTACGTACATGTTGATAACAGTAACAGTGAATTAAGTTTAATAAGCGATTGAGATAGCATGCAACAAACAGTTTCTACCAAAGCAAAACAAAAAATTATTAATATATCTACCTACAAACATGCATTTCATAAAGAGATTAAGAAGACAGTAACAAGCAACATACATGAATACTTAATATACTATGTTAGGCCATTAGTGCTTTTTTTCTTCTTCAAAAACTAAAAATAATAAAAATCTCTTATACTAGCAACAACAGGCAAGAAATTATTGATATAGAGCTACATTCAACATGTATGACAAAAGATGTTTCCTCAAAGCTTACTACATTAGAGTTAACTTGCTAAGCTGTAGCTGTACATGTGAATGTTGTTTATTACATATGTACTGCAGTCGACTATATTGCAGCCACCAGATACACCTATCAACTTCTATAAACTAAAAAGTTATAAATGGTACCGGTAAGTAAAGATATTTGGTATTGAGTCTCTGGGATAATTAGCATATTTGGCGGGAGATAATAACTGAGCATAAGCAAGGTGATTATTTACATCAAATATACTAATTTATGTGGCAATGTTGAACAGCAACAAAGCACAACCACACAGGGCATTTTCTCGCAAAAATGAGCTCCCGTACAATTTTGAAGTTTTTGAGAATTACAACATTAATTATATTATTAATCATAAACTACACAAATCTTCGACATTTTAAAGGGCGGTGTTCATCGTGCCACATCCAGTTCCATATGGGATTCACAGCGACGAACGCAACATGTGTAAAATACATTTTTTACATGAAGTTAGAACACATGCTGCCTGACGACCACCGCCAATTTAATAGTAGTCAATTTTAGTGTTTTTTTTTTGACAAAACAAAAATTATTCATTTCTGGTCTTTAACCTCTATTGAGATGTTCTGAAGTTCAAGAGTTTCTGTTAATCCTTGGATTCATGTCGAGCACTATTATATTTATTTTAACTAGTGATTATATTTTGGCTTAATGCAGAAAAGTACTAGATAAAAAAGCCCATCCCTATTCTAAGCTATATACTGGAATGTTAAAGTAATTTTTTCTAAAAAATATCCTAAATTTATTTCTTTATGAGGTGGTATCTCAATTCAGAGCACAATAATTATTTGAAAAGAAATGTTATAAATTACATTAAACATGTTATAATAACAAGATAAAGGTGATGGAAGGAATGTAAGCTTTGAGGTAACATAAAACAGACTATTGATAGCGTAAGACTTGACAAATGGAAGATTGATAGACATTAAACAACAGTCAGGTTTAAGGGTGGCCTGGCTGGTCAACCAATACTTACTAGGTATACCAGAAACTAGTTTTAGTGGTCGCAGAACTCTCACAGCTCTGAGTGTTCGTAAATCAGGTCCACTGCCAGCGGCCCCAGGTTTCGCTACTTCGGATTCCTTTCCTTCATTTTGGATTTCATTTACAAACGATATAACTCTGCAAGCACATGCACAAGGGATAGGGAAAATACTATGAAAACTATTGGGGTTACTAAAGGTCTTGCCAATTTCAACCTTACACAACAGGGAATAGGAGAGATAACTATAGGGTGCTCCCCAATTTCAATGATTAAATGAACAATATGCATTTGTGCAGACACTTAGTTTACCTGTTAATACACATGAAATTACAACAATAGAGATGTCTCCACAAATGCACTCAAGCTTATGACGAGAGAAGGGAGAAAACCAGAAAATGTCATCGAGGCAACGAAATATTCTCAAGTACAATACAGAGGACAATTTTTTTCAATTTTAAAATTGGTAACATTTTGCTGGTAACTGAATCCCCTCGTTATAGCTTCTCATCCATCCTAGTGTACTAGCAGACTTGGATCTAAGAATAGGATAAAACTATGCACTGTTAGTAGGCATCTTGGAAAAGCAGGCAAATAACGGTGGGGCAAGTTAAGTCGGGTAAATTTGGCAGAGCAACTCTTGGAAGTATCCAGGCAGTGAACTTACTTTCAAAACCAGATACCAATTTTAAAGGTCTCAGTACCCTGACGGCTCTTATAGCTGGATTTTCAAACTGTGGAATCTTAAAGGCACTTAGCACACTGACAGTATGAAGCATTGAAGAAGCAAGAAAAAAAAAATGTAAACAATGAATGGAAATGAGAACGCAAAACATGAAAAGCTGAAAGCAACGAAGTGAGAATGCAGTTACATGTAGGGGCGATGGAATGCAAGACTAAGTGTTACATGAAAAGAAAGAGCAGTGGGCACATGTGCAGCTTAATAATGTTGGCAAACTAAAAATAAATGATGAATCAATGAGAACGCACACTGATCTTCATAATGCCAAAAGTGTATATTTAGTCACTCAGCAATTTATAATGTATATTGCCATGAATCTATATGTACTTGGTATGATGTTATTATTATAGTTTTTTGAAAAATGACAGTAGAAACCGAATAATGCACCTCAAACATAATTAATTAAACTGGGAATATGAGAGTCAAACTTTATAGTGGTACCGGAAATTGAAATTTTACAGGCTTACAAAACTGCAAACCTGTTGCCTACAATAACTTACAAGGCGACCCCCAGTTTGAATTTATGGAGTATTTCAGTTATTAATATAATTATATTTGTTTTAAACTGCCATTCCAAAACCATTCTCAACAAAGGCATTTCTCAATTTTTATAAATATTTATAAATTTCAATGACAGTTGAACCAAACCAGCCAATCAATGAGCACAGCGCATAATGATGTCATTAGAAAATGTTCCATTATTCAATCAGCCAATAGAAACTTCTTGTTTCAGTATGAATTGCGAAATTTATAAATATTTATAAAGATAATGTTTTTGTTGCGCCGAGAGTAACTGGTTGTAATTTTTCAAATCTGAGAAGTGAATATGTATATATTCAGTGAAACGAAAAACAGAAGAAAATAAATAAAAATTATGAAGAATAATGAATGAGAGAAGAATATTGACAATGAATGTGATCTAAAGATACAGCCTAAAACTGGAACACATCAACTGGGATAGTTTGCAGTCGCCCACCAGAGGTAACCCCCCGCCCCTTCCTCACGACGTCATTTGTCAAAAAGGCAGAACATGCTATATATCATTAGTAACATTATCAATGATCAGGGTATTATGCTGATCCTATTATTAAACCAAGATTTAAGACTTAAGATTAAAGAGATTATTATTGTATATGGAAAACAAACCAAAAATTAATAGATTAAATTCAATATGACAAATCAAACCATGTGACAGAGTTTCAGGCCAATCAGAAGGACAATCTAAACATGAGGCATATTAAACATGGATATATAATATCATAATACGATGCACTGTCCATTATTGAAATGCTGGTTCACACTGACTAATCAGTATCACATGCAGTTTTGTTATTTGAACAATAATGCCCCCCCCCCCCAAATACCCTTCTCCGAATCCTATATGACGTGGGGAATTATATAACACCACAATCAGAATTTTCCAAATTTAGGTAAATTTTGACGTTTTTTGTTGAAATGAATTCACTTGCGAATGGAGGTTTACATTATGTTGTGATAATATAAGCTATGACGTCATAAAAACCTCAAATGGTGACTGATAACAGATGATACATGCATGGACAATGACTGAGGTCAATGCACTAACATAATAATAACAATATTGTCTGGGCTTAATATCCATTTTTTTTTTCTATATTGTACAAATTGTTTGATAATGATTATTTCGCGTTACAAAATCCTGGTAATTTTCATCTCGGAAATTATGCCTTATTCATTATTTCGCGATAACTGGGCACAATGTGTGCAATAATGAAAGGAGACAAACAACAGCAGCGCACAGTGCCATATTTTCGGATGCGAACGACCGTTTGTTGCTAACCAGGCACAGAGCCCGCACGCAAAACGTAAACAAGTACGACATCCCGTACAAGGGCTATGAATTACTAGTAATAATTCTCAAATCTTATTTTTTAAATCTTGGTTTAGGAAATGCTACCCCGATTGTCAAAATAGTCGCCACGCCACTCACTGTTTCCCCTCGGCTTCTTTACACCGCATTTTTCAATATCGAAACAAGTTACTCCAGAAAATATGGAAAATTTAGTTGATGAACACTTTTATGCGGCTAAACGAGGGGAACAGTTTAGTGTTTACAAACAAACGGAGGAACTCACATAATCGTTACCGCACGAAATAAGTTGCCAAACACACAGACGACAGCTACAAAGTACTATTGCAAGTAGCCCTGTGTACATGTTTGTTATTCTGACCGCTACTCCGTGTGTAGGGTAGGGTGGCGTAGCGGCCGGAATAACAGACATGTACACAAGGCTATATTACAAGTTGAATGAGTTGGCCTTCCTCCACGCTGCCATGACTCGCATTGTCCAACCGAGTAGTTGAGAAAAACTTCAAGCGAGATGCTTTTGACTAAACACATCTCAGAATGTATACTGAACGGAAATACATTAAAACGGTCAACACTTCGGAAAGGGTTAAGAGTCTGTAACCAGCGAACAAGACCGCCATATTGACCTGTGGCTGTAAGAATCGCGATCTCTGATTGGCTACTACTCGTGGTACGCGTAGTTAAATGCAAAGAGAATTTCAATTGGTCAGAAGTTTCAAAGATGGTGAAGAACGGCTTTGATGTGATTTAATGTGTTTTATGTTTTCGCCGTCTTGAAACTAAAGACACAATATTTGCGCCCTCAATACGCGACACTAATTCTGACTCACCAAACGTACAAGCCTTGCAGAATATATATGCATTTGGAAGTATTTAGCTTTGAGAGTGAAATCGAATTACCGAATGAACGTGTTAATGCCGCACATATGTGTGCAGTTTATGTGTTTAGTTTATTTCAGATTGTACTGATTAGTAAAATGATGGCGTTCTGCAAACTTGAGGGTCTGATGAAGACATTTCACAATTATGTAACGAAAAAAAACTTACCCTGATATTACGACTATGAAATCCATAATATTCCAACCGTTCCGAAGATAGGAACCCGGATGTAGGATAAAACCTTGTGCTATAATTTTTATTAAACATTCAAAGCAGAAAATTCCTACAAAGTATACTTCTGTTTCTGTCTGTTGGGAAAATAAAAACAAAACATTCAATATTTAGTCATCATTTTTCATATAATATCGAAGTTTCAAACCAAATGAGAAAGTTACCATGACAATCCAAATCTGTCTGCGACACTGTTATCACCACTCTAATTGCAGGTTTCAATGTCACGTGACGTTGCTGTCAGAGTACATCATCAAATGCGCCATATTGTACATATTACCGGAGCTAATCATGTACTAATCACTAAAATTTCAAGAAAATCTCAAACTGGTTCTTTAACCCCCTCACTCACAGCTTTAATCTCAACCCTGCCATTATAAATATACATGCCCCTAGACACATAGTTATCAAACGGGGCAATTACAATTACGTTTTATTTAGGTGTGGGGTTTGGGCTCAGCTTAGGGCGAGGGTCGTTAAAGAGATATTTCCCTCCAATCAATACAACGTTTCTAATCTCTGATATGATCAGCACATTTCTCAGAGACTCCAAGGTAAACATATCTGAAGAGCGTTTCTCGACATAAATCACTATATATATTTATTCAATTTTCCTCGTGAAAAAGATGAATGCGGTTCATTTTGCGGTCAAATTGACGAGGGCGTCACATTTTGGATAGGTATTTACAATCAATATCGAAACTACTAGATACATCAGAATTGTGATCAATACAGCACACCATTGTCTCGGGCGTTTTGTGTGTGTGTGTGTAGAAAATAAACGTTGACATATCTGTCATTCGCCCAAGAACGATGCAACAACTAATACCCCCTAACTTTTTAAATAAAAACGACTCTTTACACTGAGTTAAGGTAACTGAATGCAAAGGTATGCATGTCACGTGGTCTATTAAAGAGCAGGTGCGCTATTTACGTCCCCAGAGTTGTTATGTTTTCTCGTGATAATGGCGGATTGTGAATAACTATGATGTTAGGCGGCCTGTCTTGTATTATATTATAACTGCATGCACTTGATCCATTTAATTTTGTGATCTTTATATTTGTTAAATTTTAATAAACGTTCGCAAAAATAAACAACCTCATTCTAATACATCTTGGCCCACATCATGATTGATATGGCCCGTTATAAGTGACAGGTAAGGATAAATATTATGTAATAAATTCACAAGACAAAAAACTAGCCGATGATTTAGAAATTCATTGAAGTTATTAGTGCGGGAAAAATGACTACAAGCTATTTATTAGTGTTCGGTTTTATTCCATGTTCACGTGTTTCTGTTTCACGGAGTTGTACAATAAAAATATGCATTTCTCCATGTTTTTTTAACACTACAAATAAACTGACAACTGACGTTACGTCTCAGAACAAGACCAGGTTTTTAGCGCACTGAGAAACACGTCGTCAACAGATACGCATCAAGAATACAGATACAAACACGAAACAGAAATAACTCTGGGGCCCACATGGGTTATCTCCGATTTTCAACGTGCCGATGTTTAACAAAGCATGGAAAACCGCTTGGGGTTTTTTGTCCAATAACCTGACATTACTGTGTCATTGACAACTATTTTATTTCATGCAAACAGAAATCAGTATTTTGAAACAATACTAAATTCATACAAGCGAACACGGCCCATTATGGCGAAGGGGAGGTTTTAAACCACAATGAGGCCAACGGAAGGTTATCTAAAAAGTCCAATATGTCGAATGGGTCCAACGAAAGGTTATCCAAAAATTCCAATATGGCGATTTGGGCGAACGGAAGGTTATCCACATAACTGGACCCACATGGTTTAAAATTTAAAATGAGGCCAACGGAAGGTAATCCGAGAAAACACCTGCGGTTGGTCGGTTTATTTTTTTGTACTAATTATTCATACAGATACTGACATTACTAATAATTTATATTAAAACATTGCCAGAATGCACATTTTGTTGAATTCCCTAGCTAAAATTAAAGAGACCCTTGAGTGGCGACAGTGAAAACATTACAATTAAAATGCACATGCGTTGCATCTAGATTTATATAGTTATGCAGTCAACTTTGCACTATTATTATCAAAAATTAGTTATACATGTATTGAATGAATAAAATATACAACACGTTTTTGATGGTTACAAATAGCAATTCGTCAATTTCAAAACACCGGTTTACAAATTCACCTAAAATGTTTATATAACGTTATTTACTTCAATTATTCTAATTTAAATATATGAAATTTGCATATTCGTGTTTAGGCTGTCGTTACCTGATATAACAGACGAGTGTTGTAATTTACATAGACAAGGTTGGGTATGTTAGCATACACTGGGGAAGTAACATACGGGCTATTAACTCTTGTAGTATACATGTATTCCCTGGTCTAGATTTAATGTCAAAAGAAACACAACCACACAGTCAGGGAATGATCATTATTTATTCCAGATGGCTAAGCAGGAACATTGTACATACTGAGAAAAAAATGTCTCAATATCCAGTATATACCTATGCACTCTTAATGAAATAACCCTCAGTTTAATTATTGGCCCATCCCTCATTATTTTATGTATGATTTACATTGCATGAAATTCGTATAATATGGAGGAATGATTGAAGAGTGCAAATATCCCGATAATAAACGTGACAGCGAGTCAGTGTCGTTGGTCTAGAATGTTCAAGTGTGTACACTTCATCCATCTAACATGATTCACTCGAGTGCTTTATCAAGTTGAACCATATTTCCATGAAATGTATTTACTCTAATAAAAGTAACTCCTCGATTTGAGTCAATGTTCTTTAGGGATATTTTATGCGACTAAATTTACGATAAATGAATATGTTTCGACGGTGCGCCATCAACGCCAATAGACACATGCAAGATGTGCAAGCTAGAAAAGACAGACGACAGCATTGACTCCACTAACATGTCATTTCTATTGCTTTATAATATTTAAAGGTAAATTTCAATCTCTTGGAAGCAGTTCAAAAAAAAAAACACCTGAATATGATTATTTGAAGAGAACTTCCGCGTGGAAGTTCATTTGACAGCGTAGGTAGCTCCGAATGACCTTCGACCTGGATATAGTCACGTGTCATAGCAGGGGAATTCCGGAGATATTTTTTTTTTGAATACCAATGAATGGATTTGGGTCAACATTATACGTAACTATGTGTTGCCAATCACACGCTAAAAATAGATTGTTACATATTATTCGCTCATTTGCATATGTCTCAATGTCGTACATATAACTTTTATATAGGTGATTGTGACATTGAAAGGGCGGGATTTCCATGATGAAGGTATACTATACTATATATCGTACCGAATCAATTTACCGAACTGACGGGACTTTAATTTAATCTTTTATCCAAATTGTGAATCAAGGAGCGATGAAGCTGCTTTTAGTCTGGCTTATAATTCAGGCGTTAGATAGCCCCGAGATTGTTTTCAGGGCATCCTACAATCTGAACTTGATTGTCCAGTGATTATAATCAGCCAATCCGACACACTGTTAGAAGCTTGATAACGCGTCTATGACATTTGCTCCGATTTACATTCAGAAACAGTGATATCGATCGCTTGACATGTTCGAGACAATTCTGCAAATGGGGGGGGGGTGTTAAATTTTTTCCCATAAACACTGTTAAAAATAAACAATACATTTCCATATCAGTAAACTTTGATTTGGTTTCCTAAATATTCACTAACATACAATATTTCACAGAGTAACTTGGAGAAAGTGTTAATTTATTTATAGCCTTGCCGCATATACTAGTTTTTTCACGGCATATGGGCACAGGTGAACGGCGTATTTAATAACGGCACCACTGGGAACAGTATCATTATACACTTCTTAAAAGATCCCCTAGAGTTCTGTAATCATTGTTATTAAAAAAAAAAACATAATCTTCATTTTAATCAAAAGGTTGGTATTTTAATTTTATAAAATCATCAAAATAAGAATTGATTGTCATCGCTGTGTGACGTCATATGTCGAAAAGTGAAAGTTCAGTTTATTACAATATTGAATTATACAAATCATGTGACATGTTGGTATTCTATGATTAGCGGTATTTCTGTTATTCAAAATACAAGTATTACTATTCGTTGCTAAAGGCAGTAATTAGGTGCTTTGGACGTAAGTCTGAAAAGGAAGATCGTGATATGACTGCATAATATCATTAGCCTGTGTCATACCAACTTCATGTTGAACATTTGGACGATATGACGCAAGAAGTGACGTCATTCTTACTGGTTGTCGTAAGTAACAAAGTTTTTTTTTTTTGGGGGGGGGGGGTCACAAACACATGAATGCTTAAACGGCTACGAAATTGTAATTTGTCGATAAAACTGTTAAAATGTACCAAGGCTATTGTCTCATGGATAACAAATATAAAATAGATATTAACTAACATTATTTTATTTAAAGCGCGGTAGTCGTCACGCTGCGCATGTGTGAGATATATGGGTCTCATATAAACAAAGATGGCGACTTTGACTGTTGCGCAGATCAACGAGTACGGACTGAGACGTTTCAAAGCTTAAATTAGGCAATTTTCATGTTATTGGAAAGTATCGAAGGAGTCACCGTCGGTAATTAGTGCAAGTCGCGCCAAGGTTAAACCTCATACTTGTGATTACATTTGAAGAACGCATTGGATTGTGGGAAAATCAATGTTTATCAACACAAATGTCGCACATGCGTAGCGCGACAACTACCGCGCTTTAATGTTATCACAAAATGTAAATATACGAGTCAATGTCTTTGTATAGTTTTAGATTCTAATCAGACTCGACTGTAAGCGTTTTAATTCATCAAGTCAGTCCCACCCACATGGGTAGACGATACACTGAAACAGACGCACCGGGAATACAAATGATTTCATCAGTAAAGTCGGTTTCGGTATTGATTTTGTTACAAGAAGATGTATTCTGAAACCTTACTAGTAGTTCTGTATGTTAAAGGAATATTCCAGGATTTAAATAAATTTGGCTGACCAAGTCTGTGTAAAAAAAAAAAAAAAAAACTTTCTGAAACCATTTTTATTTTCCATGATTGGGATAAATTTGGTTGATCAAGTTGAGGATTGGGCATATTCATCGTCCTGTTAACTGTTTAACAACGCATATGCTTAAACCTGATTGGATCTCTGGGCTGAGGTTGCAACGTCAAGTTCAGATAAATCCCGCGACGCCAGTGCAAATAGTTTAATCGGCAGTAGAAACACACCGGAAGAACATTATTGACGGAAGAATTAGATACTAGTTTCGAATGTCAATTAATTCCACCATGAGTGAGTGAATAATACGTATGACACATGCAACAGTTCGAATGACAGCGAACAACTGAAATTACCTTGTATCAGAGAACAGATTTGGAATTATTATAGCGTTGTTTCATGATGGCCTGCGTAATTCAGTACGCAGATCGATGTACTATGTTTTTAATGATATAACCGCAAGGTATCCTCGTGGGCGGAGCTACGTCACGGACGTTCTACGTTGCTAAGACGCGCACCACTGTACCACGTATTTCTATGGGCTTTGTGCGCGCTGCTGTGGAACGCCGGTGGAGCCGGTGAAAACTCGAGAAAACAACACAAACTCAACTTTGAAGTAATCCTGAACAACCAAATTCATATATGTTACACACGTAGGGCTAATCTTGTTACACTGCTCAGGGGACTCTCATCAACCATCGCAAAGTACCGTTTTCTGTGAGTTTTTGGTTCTTTGTTTTCACCGCGAGGGTTGCCAGGTGGTAGAAAATGCCCGGATGTCCGCCCCCGAGGATATGTAGCATGCTACAACAATCAACAGTATTTCAGAAACCACGCCCATTTTTGCGAAACCACGCCCAAATTGTAACTATGTTCAATTAACAACTAACAGAACTTTAAGTTACGGGCAACCTATATTATTATTTTTGTAACTCGATGTTTTTGTAACTCGATGTCTGTAACTCGAACAATTCAACATCTCGCTAATTTCGGATTAGTCCATTAATACATGCGTATTTTTCCCGCTAGAATTTCTTGAATCGATATCCCCGACAGTCGACACTATTTGAAAAAGATGTCGAGATAAGAATTGCCAGCCTTGGGACATTCAGGGCACGCTGAACTCAAAAATAATTCAAAAACCCGATTTATTGACTAGACAGTGAATGTCCATTAAATAAAAATTGTTAAAATATTATGTTACAAAAACATGAACGCAATCCTTTTATAGTTATTATTGAATTGTGTGCGTTATGATAGATATTATATATATATATAATTGTGTATTATTATTACTTTTGTTTGAAATTTTACAGTCTAGCACTGTTGTTATGGTCATGTCATCAGAAGGGATTTTTTTCCTTTTTAATCACAGCGGAAATTGCACTTTACAATTTTTTTAATATTAGCCTCACATTATATTAATGAATGAGTACATTTATAATAGCGACTTAATCGAGGAAGTATGTTTTACATTTTCCAACCTACACATGTCATTGGCCGAGAAATCGAGCAATGTTGTACTTTTGTCTGGGCACGTCATAATTTCTCACCATTGTTTCGCCCTCGTTCGCAATTGGATGTTATAAGACAACTAATGTAATCTTCTAAGTGTTTGCAGGTAAACATTTCACTTAGAGTACTCTGAACTCCTGAAAATGTGCAATAGCTTTGGATAAACATGAGCATTTAATGATGCATGCGCGTCATGCAATATCTTCGAACGAGCCTGCAGCGTTACTGACGTAATCGAACAACACATCAACATTGTACTTGAAACCTGCAAATGTGGCGCTATATTGGACAGTGAACCGTATGACTAGACTGACTCAGACTCAGCTGTCCTGGGGATATATAACCCCATAATTGAACCGAATTGAATAATAATTATGATAATAATATCATAGATATAATATGTATCCGATATAACATCTATAATAACGGAACGTTACAGTAAAGGAAAATTTACTGTCGACTGTGCGAGAATATGGTCGTTGCATATTACTATGTGTGAAATTACAGAAATAACACAAAATGTACTTACCAATCCTATCGCCAATGGAGTCTTGTCTTCATTTGGCAAGTGATCCTCCAATGCTAGTACTACACAATTAGCTGTGATCGTTAGCAAAATGAGATATTCGAATGGAGTATACAAGAGTTAAGGAATATATTTAGCGTAAGGTTGAAATATATGGCAATACAACGCAACATGGCGCAACGTACTACTAGTATATATATTATTGCAACTTAACGCAAAGGCTTGCAATACAACGAAGCGTGAAAATACTGCGCAACGCAAACAGATATGAAAAAAACCGCGATGTGGCGCAACGCATCATGGTGATTATAATGACAGCATATGACGCGATGCAACGCGCAGTGTCATGGCGCGGCGCGGCGCGACGCTACTTACCTGACGCAACAATACTTTTTTTAAATCTGCGTAACTTGTTAAAAAAATACATATTTGAGAATAACGTCACAGTTATACCTACTCTACAATGATTAATGTACTAAAGTTTGTGTTGTGCCCATCATCCCCATGTCAAATACATACAATTAAACTGAACTTGTATTGTATGTGGTATATCAAAACAAAACCGAACACAAAGTTGAATCCAATACTTGGAATAAAAGGTATGGATGAATACATAGTTTCTTTGAATGGACGGATATTTATATAACCGGGACGTTAAAGATCACAAAAATTACAATAAAAATGAATGAAATTTCAGATATCTTCATTCTTTGTGAAATCATCTGTCCCAGTGTCAGTTATTGATACACCGGATATGCAATGACCTTTCTTAAATTGCTTTGTTAATAGATAATAAATTATATGCAATATAACAATGTGAAATATTTATTATCTATTTAAAACAGTCTCCTACTATTTATAAGGTTCAATTCAGCAATAAATACATGAGTAATAATGTCAAGCGCTGTTTGTTACAATTTATTGACTACCGGAAAAAGTGCCGGGTTAAACTAATGCCGCATTAACGTCATTTGAACACAGTGCGCGTTCGATATGGTTCCATGCTACGTACACAACGTGTGTAAAGAAAGTTGTTTGCATCTTAATTGGACGCTACGGTGGGGTCATGTTTGGCACTTTTAGGCGATATCTGTTTGAGTCACGGTTGGACATTACAGCTAAATGTTTGCATCAATATATGACTGAGATAATTATGATTAATAATAATAATTAATAATAATAATTATTATAAGCTTGTGTCGACAACAAGACGCTTTGGTACGGGGATAGAGCAGCTGTGTGAACCACAACTCGTAAATTGTACTACTCCTTGAATTATTCAAGTATCTCTCATATGCATTCCACTTATATACACTTGTATATCAACAAAATGTAAATTATATATATATTATCTCCTTCATCATTATAGAAACACTACGGCATAATATCAAAATAAACATTTTGTTTTATTAGCATAGTAGCTAATAATAAAACATCTGTACAATGGTAGTAATAATTACATAACAAAAATCTGAGTGAACATGCAGTATTGTATGCAAAGTTGAATGACTTCCCTTGATGTGTCTGTGAGCCTTCGAGATATACTGCGATATCACGTGGTTATTATATATTACAATACACATTTGATATTCTGCTAGCTAAGCTGTGTAGGCTCGTGATTCAAGGTGAACGTAGTCACTTTTTTTAACCTTTTATGGACTTCGCGTAATTATGTATTCACCTAGCAATGATGAACAAAATGGCGGTTATGATGATGTAGCCGGACACAACTATCAAGTGACACTGCAATTCACAACAAATGGTTTATGCTGATTGGATGGGCGATTCCGAACCCGGTTACTACTATATACGTGATAATGTTTTATCACCCATAGTATTCACCTGTGATTTAGTCATTTAGTTTTTTTTTTTTTTTGACAGTTCAGATAAATTAATGACATTCAAAGTGTGTTAAATAACAGTTATTGAATGTATCATCTTGGTGAAATACTGAGGAATTTTATCTCAGACTATTACCAAACATAATGTCCACAAATGTCATGCTAATCAAGATATTCAGATATGTAGTCAAAAAATATCCCCTAAATACACTAACTGAAGGGAGCTTTAATATACTATATCAATAGTTGTTACGCGAGAATATTTACCAAATCAATTCATTGTTATAAATATTTATTGACTTGAAGTACGGGCGTAATAGGTATAGTTTTGTAGGACGAAAAACGTAACTATTATTCGACTCGCTTCGAGATAGCTTGATCAAAATGATGGATTCGATGACGTACTATGATTAAAACAAATACCACGTGACACTCACACCGACAAATGGAAATTACTGGTGTACACGAACCGTGAGAAACGGCTTTCTTAGAAATGAGAAAGCAAAGATAACATCGCCGATAGGTCACGACTGTATTTTGAACATAAATAATCCGTCGCATTGTGACGTCATCAGTGTACAGTTTTTGCCAACCAGCATGCGAATGTCAATCAACAAATGTTGTGACAACATTGCCCATACGTTGTTACATACATTTATATTTAAAACCAAAAGCAGCTAACAACGCCTGACTGTTACTGCGCTTGCGCAAAAAGTGCGACGGCCTGTACTCTCAAGAGATGAGTACTCCAAAACTGAAATGACTAGATCAGACATCCCAAGCAAAAATAAAAAATGCACAAGAATAAACCATATACGGACTAATTTCTTCGTAACGTTCCTGAGGAATTCTGAGCACAGCTTATTAAATTTAACATTTAGCAATAAATAAGGACCACACGAGTGACTGCCGCGCTATGAAAGACAGCTAATTTACTTATTATGTTATTGAAATGCAAGCAAACATTAGTATACATTTTTCAATTATACAAAAACCAAATAAATAACATGACTGATCACAGTGGTGACACGTATGAATAGTATTAATAAAATATTACAGTGACTGATCTTACTAACTAACGTCTGTGTTTTAAATTTCCTGTCATAAAGGTGTGGACGTTCTGTGAATTTACAACTGACTCCATTAGAATTCGTTATTTGCATGTTCCCAGTACGAGAGCAATGAATGCTGGGAATGTCAGTTAACGCTTGAGAAGGTACAGGTTGTGGCAAATTTACGACTATAAGACTAAATGAATATTTGACGTCCAAATAGCAGCTCTAATTATAAACGTGTTTAGTGGGTCAAGGATGGGCCCAGAAAACGGAGAAAGCACGTGACCTCAATAATCCCCTAATTTTAATTATGTTCTGGGAGCTATTTGGACACGATACGGTTTAACGCTAGATAAATTATGTAATTGGGTTAAAGGTATTTATAGAAACTATGGTATATTAACTGGTACTATTATTGATGCTAAAATCTTATTATGTAATGTAATGTAATGTGTATAATATTTGTAATACTAAATATGGATATTTGACGTGGATGTGACCTTAACATCTGCATGCGTCGATTGTTCATACAATAGCAATACTTATAATAATGTCATTTCGATATCGATTTTGTTCTCTGAACCCCGTGTGTAAGCTGAATATAAATGACCTTGAATACACTTGGCCACGTGAGACTGATAGAATGAACGAGTAAATTAACTGCTACGCCCCCAGTGGCAGTTAGAACGTATTATCTCACAGCCACGATTACAAGAAACGTGTAGATAGCGGAGATGAGAGAACTTTAAAGCGCGGCAGTTGTCGCCCAACGCATGTGCGACATTTGTGTTGATAAACATTGATTTTCCCAATGCACTCTTCTAATGGAAATTACAAGTTTGAGGTTTTACCTGGGTGCGACTTTCACTAATTGCCACCGGTGACTCCTTTAATACCTTCCAACCACCTGAAAAATACCTAATTAAAGCTTGGTTACGTCTCAGTTCGTACTCGTTGATCTGCGCAACAGTCAAAGTCGCCATCTTTGTTTATATGAGACACATACATCTCGTGCATGCGTGGCGCGACGACTACCGCCATTTAAGTTTCATTGTTTGTCAGTAACTACATATTTACAATAAATAATTATGACAAAAATAGTGACAATACAACATTCAGTCACGAAGAGAGAAATCAGACATAAACTGAAAAGTGTTTTCACGTGTTAATCAATATCAAATTATGGTTATATATTCACCGAGATAGTAAGTATGCGGCTACTGTAAAATGACTAATTTTAACTGGGTTTAAATTTCACTGATCTATCAGTTCATGCATATTCAGCGAGTTTTAAATTCGCGGTTTTATCATTTAGATAATGTGTTCTATGCTCAATTTTACATATTCACTGGGTTTTAATTTAGCGCATTATCCAGTCAGCAAAATAAGCAATATTATAACCCAATGAATAATTAACCATTTCACAGTATTATGATATAGGATTAACAAACAGAAAATGTTTAATTAGTGTGACGTCGGACAGACAAACATCGGCACGATATTACCAAATCATAAGGGGGTGCCGAACATGAAATAATCTAAACACAGACAGACTATTTAATGTAACTATTTAACAGTTAATTTTGAAATTATTTAAATATTGTGTAATTAAGAAAACATGGTTCGGTCAAGTAATCACAAATGTACATAAAATGTGTTAAAATACCAATGATTTCGGGGATGAGAAACATTTCATCTTAGATTGTGTGCTCAAAAACCAATAAAAAGAAAGATACGATTTTTTATTTCCAAAGATGATTCTATTAATAATAATTCACAAATTATACATTCCCAAGTTGATGATAGATGATTGTGGTTGGAAATACACTAAATAAAAGCGATCCCCCACCTAGCGGATATGACGTAATTATATGTTATTTTAACAGGTGAAAGATAAATAAAAAAATATTTTTCTTCATATTGACAGATGGCATACGTCACGAAATTGTTTTATTTTACCTTAATCGATACATGGGATCAACAACCTGATAACATGACCCCCGTAAAGGTCAAAGGTCACACTTCCTGGTATAACTGGGTATTTTATTGCCCTACACGTTAAACTATGGTATTCTAATAGGCAAACAAAAAAAAACTGCAAAGAATACGCGAGAATACTGGATAAAAAATACATTATTAAGCCGTTGCCATGGTTACTAATCTAGTCAGATAAAAAAGAAGACCATTAACCCCGGGGGGTATTAACCTCGCGG